AGAGCGGAGGAGACTGGACAATAGAGCAGAGAAGATGCCAGGAGGAGACTGGACAATAGAGTGGAGGAGACTGGACAATAGAACGGAGGAGACTGGACAATAGAACGGAGGAGACTGGACAATAGAGAAGAGAAGATGCCAGGAGGAAACTAGACAATAGAGCGGAGGAGACTGGACAATAGAACGGAGGAGACTGGACAATAGAGCGGAGGAGACTGGACAATAGAGCAGAGAAGATGCCAGGAGGAGACTGGACAATAGAGCAGAGAAGATGCCAGGAGGAGACTGGACAATAGAGCAGAGACGATGCCAGGAGGAGACTGGACAATAGAGCAGAGAAGATGCCAGGAGGAGACTGGACAATAGAACGGAGGAGACTGGACAATATAGCGGAGGAGACTGGACAATAGAGCAGAGAAGATGCCAGGAGGAGACTGGACAATAGAGCGGAGGAGATGCCAGGAGGAGACTGGACAATAGAGCGGAGGAGATGCCAGGAGGAGACTGGACAATGGAGTGGAGGAGACTGGACAATAGAGCAGAGAAGATGCCAGGAGGAGACTGGACAATAGAACGGAGGAGAATGGACAATAGAATGGAGGAGACTGGAAAATAGAATGGAGGAGACTGGACAATAGAGAAGAGAAGATGCCAGGAGGAAACTAGACAATAGAGCGGAGGAGACTGGACAATAGAACGGAGGAGACTGGACAATAGAGCGTAGGAGACTGGACAATAGAGCACAGAAGATGCCAGGAGGAGACTGGACAATAGAGCGGAGGAGATGCCAGGAGGAGACTGGACAATAGAGTGGAGGAGATGCCAGGAGGAGACTGGACAATAGAGCAGAGAAGATGCCAGGAGGAGACTGGACAATAGAGCGGAGGAGACTGGACAATAGAGCAGAGAAGATGCCAGGAGGAGACTGGACAATAGAGCGGAGGAGACTGGACAATAGAGCAGAGAAGATGCCAGGAGGAGACTGGACAATAGAGCGGAGGAGACTGGACAATAGAGCAGAGGAGACTGGACAATAGAGAAGAGAAGATGCCAGGAGGTTACTAGACAATAGAGCGGAGGAGACTGGACAATAGAACGGAGGAGACTGGACAATAGAGCGGAGGAGACTGGACAATAGAGCAGAGAAGATGCCAGGAGGAGACTGGACAATAGAGCAGAGAAGATGCCAGGAGGAGACTGGACAATAGAGCAGAGAAGATGCCAGGAGGAGACTGGACAATAGAGCGGAGGAGATGCCAGGAGGAGACTGGACAATAGAACGGAGGAGACTGGACAATAGAACGGAGGAGACTGGACAATAGAGAAGAGAAGATGCCAGGAGGAAACTAGACAATAGAGTGGAGGAGACTGGACAATAGAGCAGAGAAGATACCAGGACATCCGAACACTGAGCAACTGCCATGTTCACAGCCAAACTACATTAAAGGTAAATCAATCACAGTCACATTATATCAGAAAAATCATGCAAGATTAACTCGTGGATTAGACCAGCATGGCCAATCCACCAAAAAAAAGAGGTTTAAAGCATGGTGCTTCAGACCTTTGGAGTGAATGTGGAGGGGTTGATAGAGTTGTTAAAGTGTTTAAAAGTGATGTAGCCAAAGTGATGTAGCCAAAAATATTTTTGGAAGTGATACACTTAAATACCGAAAGTGGCTCTCAGTTATATGGCACACTAACCGAAAAATGTGCAGTCAGCTGTTTTTAAACATTTACGAAAAACCGTAAAGCAAATGGACCACCTGGATAATGAGGAAGACAATACAGATATGGTATCAGATCATGATGTTCTGTGCAATGACATGGCTGAGCAAAGCAATGAGCTTAATTGCTTTGAAGGCATTCCTTCACCTGAAGAAGTTGTAGAGGCTGAGGATGACAGCAATAGTGGACCAGATAATACAGAACAAAATGAAAAAAAAACAAAAAAACAATGGAGACAAACAACACCAGCTGTTGACAAATGAACACAATGTGCCAAATATTTCAAGTGCGGAGGAGATGCCAGGAGGAGACTGGACAATAGAGCGGAGGAGATGCCAGGAGGAGACTGGACAATAGAGCGGAGGAGACTGGACAATAGAGCAGAGAAGATGCCAGGAGGAGACTGGACAATAGAACGGAGGAGAATGGACAATAGAATGGAGGAGACTGGAAAATAGAATGGAGGAGACTGGACAATAGAGAAGAGAAGATGCCAGGAGGAAACTAGACAATAGAGCGGAGGAGACTGGACAATAGAACGGAGGAGACTGGACAATAGAGCGTAGGAGACTGGACAATAGAGCACAGAAGATGCCAGGAGGAGACTGGACAATAGAGCGGAGGAGATGCCAGGAGGAGACTGGACAATAGAGTGGAGGAGATGCCAGGAGGAGACTGGACAATAGAGCAGAGAAGATGCCAGGAGGAGACTGGACAATAGAGCGGAGGAGACTGGACAATAGAGCAGAGAAGATGCCAGGAGGAGACTGGACAATAGAGCGGAGGAGACTGGACAATAGAGCAGAGAAGATGCCAGGAGGAGACTGGACAATAGAGCGGAGGAGACTGGACAATAGAGCAGAGGAGACTGGACAATAGAGAAGAGAAGATGCCAGGAGGAAACTAGACAATAGAGCGGAGGAGACTGGACAATAGAACGGAGGAGACTGGACAATAGAGCGGAGGAGACTGGACAATAGAGCAGAGAAGATGCCAGGAGGAGACTGGACAATAGAGCAGAGAAGATGCCAGGAGGAGACTGGACAATAGAGCAGAGAAGATGCCAGGAGGAGACTGGACAATAGAGCGGAGGAGATGCCAGGAGGAGACTGGACAATAGAACGGAGGAGACTGGACAATAGAACGGAGGAGACTGGACAATAGAGAAGAGAAGATGCCAGGAGGAAACTAGACAATAGAGTGGAGGAGACTGGACAATAGAGCAGAGAAGATACCAGGACATCCGAACACTGAGCAACTGCCATGTTCACAGCCAAACTACATTAAAGGTAAATCAATCACAGTCACATTATATCAGAAAAATCATGCAAGATTAACTCGTGGATTAGACCAGCATGGCCAATCCACCAAAAAAAGAGGTTTAAAGCATGGTGCTTCAGACCTTTGGAGTGAATGTGGAGGGGTTGATAGAGTTGTTAAAGTGTTTAAAAGTGATGTAGCCAAAGTGATGTAGCCAAAAATATTTTTGGAAGTGATACACTTAAATACCGAAAGTGGCTCTCAGTTATATGGCACACTAACCGAAAAAATGTGCAGTCAGCTGTTTTTAAACATTTACGAAAAACCGTAAAGCAAATGGACCACCTGGATAATGAGGAAGACAATACAGATATGGTATCAGATCATGATGTTCTGTGCAATGACATGGCTGAGCAAAGCAATGAGCTTAATTGCTTTGAAGGCATTCCTTCACCTGAAGAAGTTGTAGAGGCTGAGGATGACAGCAATAGTGGACCAGATAATACAGAACAAAATGAAAAAAAAACAAAAAAACAATGGAGACAAACAACACCAGCTGTTGACAAATGAACACAATGTGCCAAATATTTCAAGTGCGGAGGAGATGCCAGGAGGAGACTGGACAATAGAGCGGAGGAGATGCCAGGAGGAGACTGGACAATAAAGCGGAGGAGACTGGACAATAGAGCAGAGAAGATGCCAGGAGGAGACTGGACAATAGAACGGAGGAGAATGGACAATAGAATGGAGGAGACTGGAAAATAGAATGGAGGAGACTGGACAATAGAGAAGAGAAGATGCCAGGAGGAAACTAGACAATAGAGCGGAGGAGACTGGACAATAGAACGGAGGAGACTGGACAATAGAGCGTAGGAGACTGGACAATAGAGCACAGAAGATGCCAGGAGGAGACTGGACAATAGAGCGGAGGAGATGCCAGGAGGAGACTGGACAATAGAGTGGAGGAGATGCCAGGAGGAGACTGGACAATAGAGCAGAGAAGATGCCAGGAGGAGACTGGACAATAGAGCGGAGGAGACTGGACAATAGAGCAGAGAAGATGCCAGGAGGAGACTGGACAATAGAGCGGAGGAGACTGGACAATAGAGCAGAGAAGATGCCAGGAGGAGACTGGACAATAGAGCGGAGGAGACTGGACAATAGAGCAGAGGAGACTGGACAATAGAGAAGAGAAGATGCCAGGAGGAAACTAGACAATAGAGCGGAGGAGACTGGACAATAGAACGGATGAGACTGGACAATAGAGCGGAGGAGACTGGACAATAGAGCAGAGAAGATGCCATGAGGAGACTGGACAATAGAGCAGAGAAGATGCCAGGAGGAGACTGGACAATAGAACGGAGGAGACTGGACAATAGAGAAGAGAAGATGCCAGGAGGAAACTAGACAATAGAGCGGAGGAGACTGGACAATAGAGCAGAGAAGATACCAGGACATCCGAACACTGAGCAACTGCCATGTTCACAGCCAAACTACATTAAAGGTAAATCCATCACAGTCACATTATATCAGAAAAATCATGCAAGATTAACTCGTGGATTAGACCAGCATGGCCAATCCACCAAAAAAAAGAGGTTTAAAGCATGGTGCTTCAGACCTTTGGAGTGAATGTGGAGGGGTTGATAGAGTTGTTAAAGTGTTTAAAAGTGATGTAGCCAAAGTGATGTAGCCAAAAATATTTTTGGAAGTGATACACTTAAATACCGAAAGTGGCTCTCAGTTATATGGCACACTAACCGAAAAAATGTGCAGTCAGCTGTTTTTAAACATTTACGAAAAACCGTAAAGCAAATGGACCACCTGGATAATGAGGAAGACAATACAGATATGGTATCAGATCATGATGTTCTGTGCAATGACATGGCTGAGCAAAGCAATGAGCTTAATTGCTTTGAAGGCATTCCTTCACCTGAAGAAGTTGTAGAGCCTGAGGATGACAGCAGTGGACCAGATAATACAGAACAAAATGAAAAAAAAAACAAAAAAACAATGGAGACAAACAACACCAGCTGTTGACAAATGAACACAATGTGCCAAATATTTCAAGTTGTCTTCTGAAATTTGTGCACAATATCTGCAAGTTGACTTCAGTCAAAGTACATCACATCGAGACAGATTTTAGCTGGGCATTGATCCAAAGTGTTCTGTTCTCATTCAACAAAGAAAATGTTGACACTTACTTGCACAGGGCACACACAAAATGTCATTACAGACTCCAGAAGAAGGACCTAATGAGATTCACAGTGGTGCATATCTGTGCTACACAAATGGTGAACACCATCTCAAATGCAGTCAGCAAAGTGACAAAAGACAAGGGTTGCACAACTTTGCAAAACAGCACCAGTCTTGAACAAGCTAAAGCAATCTTTCTGCAGATGTGCTTTGTCTTTTTGGCTGAAAACAAACACAAACTCAAAACCTACATAAAGCAAATCGGTTTGGATGTTGAGGATGACATTTGCCTCAAGGCATGCATCCCTGCAGAAGATGGCATTCCAATGTCAAAAAACACAATAATTGGATGCATTTGGTAAAGTAATGGAAGAGGCTATGGAGCTAATGTTACTGACATTGCAATTCAAGAAGATGATTTTGAAGTACGTGAGGAAGGTGTCCAACTTGATAACACCAAGCAGCTAAAGACATGGTCAGAAGTAGCTGCAATCAAAGATCCTCAAGAAAAGGTCATCTTTTTTCCTTTAATGTTGTGAAAAAATTGTGTTCTGTGAAAAACATAACATGCAAATAAAAACTTTCTTTATAGATGCATGCTCTCTGGAAGACAGACATCGAAGAGGCTGTCATCGCTTCTCTGCCTTTAAGCCGAGAAAACCACAAGCACACTTTGGTTATGAGAGTAAAAGACTTCAAAACACTGTGTCCCCAACAATGGCTATGTGGAGAGGTAAGATTTTTTAAGTGAAAAAATGGACATCAAACCATTGAAGACAAAAGACAAACCATTGCAGCGCAGAGAAGCGCGATGGATGAACTTCAGGGAGAGCTCGGTGAGCAAAATGCAGCTCTGGTGAAAGTAATGGAGATGACCATGGCGAAATACTTTAAGGAGGCTGACGAGAAATCAGAAGCTCGCTTCAATAGACTTGAGAAACGAATTGATAATATGCATGCAACTCTCTCGCGGCACACGGAAGAGATAAAGAACATTCACACTGAATCGGTGAACCTCCGGGAACGTGTGGCCAATGTGGAAAAATCGGCTGCCCTAAGTTTGAAGAATCTACAAACTTATGAAGCTAAACTAATCGAGATGAAGGACAGGGCACGCCGGGATAATTTGCTCGTATTTAATCTCAAGGAAAGAGTTGAAGGGGCGAATGCTCGCGCCTACCTGATGGATAAGATCTTGGAATGGTTTCCTGCCCTCGAATCCTCGCGGCCTGAGCTGATGAGGTGTCACCGCCTGGGTAAACCTCCTACGCATGGTTCTGCAAAGACCCGTCCTCGTCCGCTTATGGTTAAGTGCCTCCGTTTTACGGATCGAGACCGCCTGCTTGGTGAGGCGAGGAAAAGCCCTCCTGAGGTGGATGGCGAGCTACTGACATTTACTGCAGATTATAGTGAGTCTACAACAAGGCGTCGGAAGCCGTGCTATAAGATCATGTATGATGCCCGTTGCCTTGGATTCGAGGCCTTTCTTCTCTCTCCAGCTACAATTAAACTTTCACGGGGGAAAGAAATGTATACGTTTCAAAAGGTGAGCGAGGCTGAAAAGTTTGTTGCTTCCCTAAAGGACTAAAATATTGGTTCAGAGGATAAAAAGCTACAAAGGGTAAGACTGATCTAAGAAGTCTATTTAAGTAATAGTTCCTAAGAGCTGCTCGAACCGCTGTGCTATATGGCGTCTTTCGTTTTGTTTTTTGTTTTTCCTTCATATATCTGGATATGAGCTGTCCATGTGTTGTTGTTTTTTTGTTGTTGTTTTTTTTTTTTTTTTTTTTAATATTTAGGGCATATTTAGTGGACAGCAAGCTTTTATGTTAATTGCTATGGTTAGAAAGTCTCGAGAATAATATCAGTGTGTTTAATTAATTATGGTGCTGACCCACAGCATAAAGGCAACCTTATATGTGATATGAGGGTGGTGGGGCTGTGACTGTCTTCCAAGATGACTGGTATATTTTTTGGGAGGGTGGGTAGTCTTCTTTCTTTTTTGAGAGGACTCTGGATGGTCAAGGCTGAGTATTTTTTGTTTGTTCAGGTGTTTGTTATTGTTTTTTACTTTTTTGCCTGTATTATTGTTATCATTATTATTTTTATGATCATGTCTGTGTGGGTATGTATGGGGTATGTGTTGGGTGGGGGGATTCTGGATGCCGACCCGGACATTGTGCCTATCGAGACTTTATTTTCTTGCTCTTGTCTGGTTCCTTTATATTTATGTGCAAAATACAATGTGAATAAATATGAGTACTATTAATGTTATATCATGGAATGCACGGGGCCTTAATTCTCCCCAGAAGCGTATAAGCACCCTGAAGCTTCTTTACAGAAAGAATATTCATTTTGCCTTTATTCAAGAGTCGCATTTACTTGTAGCTGATGTACATAGATTTAAGAATAAACACTATCATGTGGTCGCTTCCTCTTGCTATATCAAGAAGAGCAAAGGTGTTCTCATAGCTGTAAAATGTGTCTTAAATTATACAATTCTGGGCACAGGGGGATCCGATGACGGTCGAATTACTTTCTGCAAAATAGTTTATAATGGTATTAAAATTGCACTGATGAGCGTTTTATGCTCCAAATTGCTTTGATCAGCACTTTTATAACTCATTGGCCTCTATTTTAATGGATCTTCCAGAGTTCCAGCTCTTGATAGGAGGTGACTTTAATGCTGTATGGCTTCATGATATTGATAGAACAGGGGTAGTAGAGAGCAGAGATCAGCGATTAGCATCTATTGCATTGAAGAAATTGTCTACTGATTTTGGAGTGATTGATACTTGGCGGATGATGAATCCTTCTTCTAGAGAATTTTCCTTTTTCTCATCTCGCCATAAATCTTTTTCTAGAATAGATTACATCTTCTCATCCAAAACTCTCTTCAATGTCATTTCCAGCACCAAAATGATCCCAATGGCTCTGTCCGATCATAGGATTGTCTCATGTAGTTTTTCATTAAAAGCTGCTCAATCCAGGGCAGTTCGTTGGCGTTTTAACACATCTCTGCTCCAGAACAATATTTTTATACGTGAGCTGGAGGCGGAGCTGGAGGAATTTATTAAAATAAATGGCCCTTCAGTTGATGACCCACGAGTGCTATGGGATGCGGTTAAAGGGTGCATTAGGAATAAAACTATATCTTTTGCATCTCATATTAATACATCTAAAAAACATCAAATAAATTGTTTGGAGTCAGAAATTGCAGCTCTTGAACATGAAATTCTAAGCAATCCCTCTTCGGAAAATATTTGTAAGCGACAGAAATTAGTCAATGAACTTAGCAGCTTGTTAATAAGGGAAGCAGAATTTAATATCCATCGTACTAGGCAAAATCACTACTGTAACAGTGCTCGTCCCGGCCGTCTGCTCGCTTATAAATTAAGGAAAAATGATGATCTAGCAAAGATACCAGCTATAAGGACTCAACAGGGGGATATAACATCTGACCCGGAATGCATCAATAGTACTTTTCAACTATTCTATTAAAGGTGCAATACCTAAGATTTTTGCATTAAAATATCCCAAAATCACAAGGCCAGTGTTATATATTTAGTAAAGATGATAACTCACAATATTCCAAATGTTTCAAACAATGTTTAAATCGCGAGAAAATTGAGATTTTAACCAAGGAAACGGCACGTGTCAGCAGGGGTGAGCTGGGAGTCGCGAGTCAATCGCGTCATATCCGCTTACCTCGGTTTCCGCTCTTACTACGTGTAGTCCTGGACAAATGCGGTAGTTGTGCGTTAGCGCCTATCAAACGGCAGCTTGTTTCGCGCATTTGTTATGGAATGGAGCACATATATTCTTTTCATTTATTCTCGGAATGTGAACTGTTGGCTGTAAAGGGGGTCGCACACCGGACGAGAAGCGCCGCGTCACGTTTAGGACAACTCCAGTAACGTTATCGAACACCGGACGCGCACTTTCTCATCAGTGTATGGCCAGCAATATTGTTATGTTTAATGACAGGAAATGAAGATAATGTCTGTTCTATGTTATTGTACTGTACAATTAAATACAATCGTTGCTGAGTCTGCATTCTGAAAACTTTACCTCAGAGCATCCGTTCACAGAATGAATTGAGAATCTCACGTGAAAAATCTAATAATAATCAGTAATTGTCATTCAAGCAGCTGATTTCTGTAAATGACTGCAAAACTAAATGCATAGATATTGCAGCATAGGGCAAAGTCAGGATCCATTAGCAACGGTTTGAGGCAAAAATAATTACAATTTTATATAAAACTATGTAAATGGCGCTCTGTGGCGCAGCAGGGTTTTGAACACGGTCCTGAAACGTTGCTGGGCGCCGCGGACAGACGCCGAATGGCGCCGCCGGTATGTGTACACTTATAGATAATAATGTGTTCGAATAATTATGTGGTGCAACGCGGCGCTGCAGCTTCTCGTCCGGTGTGCGACCCCCTTAACGTTAATTTTGTGAAACTGTAGCTGTGGTTGAATACTTACACGACATGAAAAGATGTGTCAAATGTACATTGCAGACATCCCAAGTCTCCCGGATCTCCCGCATATTGATAGCGTTTCCCTGATGCCCGCAAATTAGTTCAAATCTCCCGGGATATAATGTTAGAGCGAGACATACTGCGCGCATAACATACAGCGCGCTGCGCGTGCACTGTACAGAGGGAGAGACTTTGCGTTTGTGCCTCGCGAACGCGAAAGTTAGCCTTCCCTCCCACCCCCACAATCTTGTTATCGAAATATACCTCCCGGAAATGAATTCTTGCAGGTTGGGATAACTGACATTAAATTGATTTTTTATTTTTATAAAGTTACCAAGGAGGGCCAACCACGTCAACTCCTTGCGAGAGACCTGCCCCTTCAAACCCTCTCCACCATAGCTTCGTCCAGTGACTCGTACAGTAACATCTGTGATAACTAATTTACTTTTAAACCTGACTTTTCTTGCACGGTTATTTCAGTTTAATGAAATACAAGCATGTCATTAAACGCAACGTTTATAGAAATCGAACTTTACCTCATCCATGACAACTAATTTTCGATTCCCGTCTGACTGATTTATCCACGGTGGAGTTGAAAACAACAGTTCCCATCATTCCGCGTTCCTCCACGGCGTCATCAAGCAAAGCCGTTGTTGTTGTTTTGAATGTAGCGCCCTCTAGCGGCATCTAGATCTTAGGTATTGCACCTTTAAAGTCTCTATACGTCAGAGGTGCATCATGATGATAAAGCCTGTTCTGAATTTTTTAAATCTTTACATCTACCTAAATTGCCTCCTGGGGCTGTTTGCTCCCTAGAGGCACCAATTCAGTTAGAAGAATTGAGTTTAGCTATTAAGGCAATGAATAAAGGCAGGTCTCCGGGCCTGGATGGAATACCACCAGAACTATTTGAGACCTATTGGCCTCAGCTTGGTCCTCTATTGTTGAATATGCTAAACTTTTCTATTGATAGAGGTTCCTTCTCTGCTAGCTCAAATGTTGCAATAATATCTCTATTACTTAAGAAGGACAAGCCACCTGACGACTGCTCTTCCTATAGGCCACTAAGTCTTTTGAATTGTGAAGTCAAGCTATATGCAAAGGTTTTAGCTACACGCTTAGAACGATATATGACTTACTTAGTTCATCATGACCAAACTGGGTTCATCAAGTCTAGATTAGCATCGGATAATGTCCGTCGCTTGCTTCATATTATAGACTTTGCTTCCAATTTTAGAAGATCAAAATGCCATTGTCTCTTTAGATGCCGAGAAGGCTTTTGACCGGCTGGAATGGGGTTACCTGTGGTTTGTTCTTCGGGCCATGGGTTTTGGTGATAGTTTTATCTCTATGATAAAGTTGTTGTATACCAACCCCTCTGCAGTTGTCATAACAGGCAGCAACTGTTCAGCTAGGTTTCCAGTTTCAAGATCGTCTCGTCAGGGTTGCCCTCTATCGCCACTTTTATTTTCTTTATCTTTGGAACCTGTTGCCCAGGCAATACGGCAGTCGGAGGCTTTGGAACCAATTATTATTCAAAATACACTACATTGCATTTCTTGCACATCTTTTTAAAATCTTTGAGAACTTCAGCAGTATTTCAGGTTACAAAATAAACTGGACAAAATCGGCTTTAATGTTGTTGGGGGGACTGGATGACCAAATACCACTGTTCAATATTCCAGTAGTTAGTAGCTTTACATATCTAGGAGTGTCCATCAGTCCCTCACTCAACTTGTTAACTGCTGATAATTATAATAAAGTTCTAAAGAATGTGGAGGGTGATTTGAATAGATGGGGGATGCTCCCTACTTCTTTTCAGTCAAGAATTTCAGTTATTAAGATGAACATTTTGCCTCGTGTTAATTTTGTGAGTAGTATGATCCCCCTAGCTCCACCGGGTGGTTACTGGAAGAAGTTTCACTCAATCATTAGTCTTTATTTATGGAATAGGAAAAAACCCAGAATCAAAGCATCTACTCTACAAAGACATAGATCATCAGGAGGCGTTAATTTGCCCAATTTTGAGTGGTATTCCTGGAGTTTTGTTTTGCGCTCACTTGCTATATGGATGAATCCAGAAATTTTGGTCTCATGGCGTCCCATTGAAGAACGCTTAATTTATCCATATTGCCTGTCTAGTTTGGTATTTTCTAATATACCCCTTAGTACAGTTAAACGTAATTTTGGGCCAATAATTTCTTATTTTTTTACAGTATGGCATAAAGTCCACCGATTTGCTAAAATTCCAAACACATTTGTTGCTCAATCTCCTATCTTCAACAATCATTTACTTTTAATTGAGAAGAAACCGATTGTGTTCCCTCAGTGGAGCAATAGAGGGGTTCGTGTCCTCAATGATATCATAGGGGAACAAGGTCTCCGTGCATTCCATGACTTGGAGAAAGCATATAACTTACCGGGCACTTCTTTTTTTTTTTATTTACAGTTACGCACAACAATGTGCGCTCAGGGTGTTCCTTGGGGTATTAAGTTGGGGAATCATCCCCTTCACGAAATCTGTGCCACTAAGGGTAAAATTAAAGGTATCGTCTCAGAAGTATACAAGTTTATAACTACAGCTTCTCATAAGCCTTTATCTCTTATTAGATTCTGGAAGACAGATATCAACATTTCTGAGGATCCAGATTGGGGCGTGGTTTGGTCAAATATTTCTTTATCATCTAGAAACCCTGACCATCAAATGATACATTACAGATTGATTCATAGATTTTACTTAACCCCACGAAGATTACAGCAAATGAAACTTAGAGACTCTAACTGAGAGAGAGGTCTCAGAGGACCTTAAATGGGAGATAAATACAACACCTATGGTCAAAAAGGCGCAACAGCGGCTATACTTTTTACGATTACTAAAAAAGAGCAATCTCTCTGCTGAGCTGCTTAAGACCTTTTATCAATGCTCCATTGAGAGTGTTTTAACCTCCTGTATGACTGCATGGTATGCCAACTGTACAGAGAAGGACAGGAAATCCCTTAACCGGATTACAAAAACTGTTGAAAAAATTATTGGACTTTTATTACATCCACTGGACGATATCTTTAAGATCCACTGCTTACGCAGAGCACATAATATTATGCAGGATGAGACACACCCCTCAAACCATCTCATCTCCCTGCTTCCTTCTGGCAGGCGGTATCGGGCTCTTAGAGCACGCACTTCCAGGCTAAAGAACAGTTTCTTCCTCAGGGCCATTACAGAACTGAACAATCATGCTTCTCCACCCCCAAGTCGCACAGCTGCACTTTCTAGATAGGGATTTTATGCAATAGGATGTGTTTTAATGAATATATTTTTATTTTTATTCTATGAGTGTGTTTGTGAAAGTGAGTGTTGTTTTAGAGGTTGCACAAGCAAATTTCGTTGTATGGCACAACTGTACAATGACAATTAAAGTCTATCTATCTATCTATCTATCTATCTATCTATCTATCTATCTATCTATCTATCTATCTATCTATCTATCTATCTATCCTTGGCAGAAAAGATTGGTGTGAGATCAGATGGAGGCCAATGAAACTTAAACACACAAACCAGCAGGATGGAAGTAGTTGCAGGGCTTTTGTTATGAAGGTATAGATTTTATTTATTTATTTATTTTGTTTACATAAATGTACATAGTCCTGTAGACAGAAATTGTAAATTTTCTATATGGGGTAATGGCTTTTTTCTGTTGTTACTTTCAGTTTGGTGAGGTGATACTCGGGTTGGCTGTACCAAACCATTCATCCATCGCGGCAAGGCTGGAGGCAATATCTGAAATTAGGCAACAGATGGCAGCTGCTTCTTCAGGTATTAACAGTAACTTTGGTATAACTATATATAGTAACTGCACTCTATTAATCATTAATTAAGCATTAGTAAACAGTTAGTTCATAATTTATAAAGCATTTGCAGATTAATAAGCATTTTGTAAATACAGCAATAAATGCTTTATTCCTGATTTATAAGCATGATAAATTGAACATTAATAATGAAAATATTTTCATTATTAATGTTCAATTTATCATTTCAAAATGCAGTATTGCACTATTTTGAAACCAGTTATTTAGGAGTTGTCGGTGGTTCTTATATAGTGTAAGTAAATGATTAATAAAGTATTTAGATGTACATTCATACATCTTATTATTCAGACATAGTAATAGTTACTTAGTGTGTAAATAAATGCTTTATTAACATGTATTTCTATTGTAATTCAGGGTTAATTTGGGTAGTTGTAAAGCAACTTGTTTAAAGTAGTGGTCAAGTAGTGGTAAACTATTTTTGTGAGCTTATCAAAAGAAAACAAACACAACAAAATTAAATGAGCCTTTACATCTCCCTAACCTTTACAAGGCATGAACAGGCCTCACTTTAGCTTACAAAAATCGGTTGACCACTACTTAATGCTTTACAACTGCCTGAATTAACCCTGAAATACGTGTTAATAAAGCATTTACTGTATGTCTGAATAATAAGATGTATGAATGTACATTTAAATAGTTTATTAATAATTTGCTTACACTTTGTAAGTGATCTTATGAACCACTGACAACTCTTAAATAACTTCTTTGTAAATAATACAATACTTCAATTAAAAATGATAAATTGATCTTTAATAATGAAAATTCCATTATTAAACGCATTAAATATATGCTTATATCAAGAATAAAGCATTTGCTGTATTTATAATTTGCTTATTAATGTCTAATAATGCTTTATAAATTATTAATTAACTGTTTATTAAAGTTTAAATAATAAAATCAAATGAACGTGCCATCGTTATAAAGTGTTACCTTAATGGTAATTTAATTTAAAAGAGAAAATAAATTCTTCAATATTGACTGCTGTTATAAAGTGAGTTTTAAAATTGACTCTTGATTGTGTGACAGAGCCTATTGAAAGTGTTTGCCAGTCTTGTGGCTGCAAAGAGATCGCTGAGAATGCACTGTGGGTGAGTATGAAGTTATTTATATATCTGTCTGCCATATTTTTTTATAAACACAACAACAACAAATCATGATTAAAATATTTCAAACATTTTCTTATTACAGTGTGATATCTGCTTGCATGGGCACATTCAAAATGTACGAATCTGACCCTGAAGGAGTCAGTGACCCAGTCCATGGCTTTGCACATTTTGTGTTGTGTATTGATGACACGATGCTGTAATGAAAAGTAATATTATGCTATTTTGTTAACAAAAGTTTCTATAAAAGGGCCAACTAAAGACAGTGATGTTGTTTTAATGCCTTATTGTGAAAGATAGAGTACTTTGAGAAATGAAAATGTAGAATTAAAGTTTATTTCTATATTTCTTATCCAAGTGTGTTAATTACAAGGTTGATTCATTCTTAACATTTGTTATACCTACATAATTTTAAACTGAACTATTTTTTTTAATCATACCAAGCTATTTGTATCTTGTGAATCGGTTTCTCAGCCCTGTTACACTGACATTATAATAAAACTGTTCATTTCATGAGAATGTGAATCACAGTTTCTTTGTAAATCAGAATGGTTAAGTTAACCACTCAGGAAAGGGTTAACTGACCCAAAGTGTTCTGTAAAAGTTTTCACAAATCAGGTTCAATCTACAAGTGTTTTTGTAATCCAGCGGTGTGTGTGTTTATTATAAATTGTTATTATACATTGTTTAAACATGAAAAACGTCTATTTTCCACATTCATGTCTACCGACAAGAGCTTTGCTGTGAAAAAAAATTCACAAATCAAGCATGTCAAGATGACACTGGGTTCAGACTCCTAAGTGACCGACTTTTGGAGCTTCAATTAAAAATGTAAATTTAAAAAAAAAAAAAAACTGATTTCGGACCGGACCTGCAGTATTCTGAAAATATTTTCAGAGGGATTTGTTAATAAATCATTCCTGGCCTGATTTATGTGACATTTTAATAAAAAAATATGGTGAAAATCGTTTTTTGAAGGGTATGGACAGTATGATGTAATGAAAGCATAGCCTGAAATCCCTCTAAACATTATTTTTCCATCTTGTGTGTAAACAAAATAAAAAAATAATTGTGCACCTGGCTTTATCAAATCTATCTACCAAAAATATATGCAAAATTGTGCATATTTAATGAGATGATGCCTAACCCTTTGTTGTATATATTTTTTATTTTACACCGTTCTCTACATTATATATAAAATGAAATTGAATGCATTCAAACATTGGATTATATTGTGTTATTAATTGTCAAAGTGCATTCATATTCTCATTCTGTTAACAGAGAACACTTGAGAAACATCACAATGCACTCGATCAGGTTTCAGGAAGAGCATTTGATCTGATCTTCTGATTTAATTTACTGCATCAGTTCTGGTGTAATGACTTTACAAGCAGATCGGGTCGATACTGAGTAAAAGCTTCTGTCACCGAGAGGATAACAAGTCCTCCATGAGCTAATCTCAGACAAAAAACATGATTATTTTACTGATAATATGTGCATTTGATCAAAAATGAAACAATATGGGAAAATGGTTCAGTTGTATCTTCCTAGAAATGTCTCTCAATCCAGCATGTTTTTCTTTCTTTCTTCCTGTGATGTTGATGCATTATGTTGGTCAACTCATGGCGATTAATAAACGTGCAGATGTGGTCACTTTCAGTCCTGGTTAACACACAGATAAACTCTTGTGTTTGATCTTATGGCAGGAATGACTGTTAGATGTGTCATCATTAGCAACAGAAAGGCATGGGTTGCTTACGGCTTTAACATCATGCATGCAGTGTGTCCTCGCATGGTTTGACTGTGACTTCTCAAATCAAACTTTGTTTCAAAAGGGTCTTGTCTTCTAAAACGACTCCTTTCTGTTCTCAGAATGAACATCCACATTCCCCATTGAAGTGTCCTGGTAACAGACTCACAGGAAGAGCTTTAGTCTGTGTGTGTGTGTGTGTCACATGTCCACCTCATCTGAAGACAGCCTGTTCACACACTCACACACTAAAGGTTTGAACAAGTGGATTCATGTTCGGTTTCTTCCCACAACCCACAGAGCATTACACGCTTAGAGACATTAATTTACTGCTCAAGTAATACTGAAATTTAGTACTAAACTGATTTGTATACAAACACTTAAATTGTGGAAGTTTTTATTATAATGAAGTTATTATACTAACTATATTATTACATTATCCTGTTTCTTCTCCAATTCGTATAAAGCATTTAAACCTTGGCTGTGCAAAAAAACATTAAAAAACTTGACAGATTTATTCCAATAACACATTAAATATTGAAGAAGAGTATTCAAATCAAAATTTGGCACTCCTTATCACCAGTCTGGTGAATAGACAGCCTGGTCTCATTGTTAATACATAGGTATTTTACGTTTTTGCAAAGATAGAAAACGTACTTTTTAGTACGGTTGGATAGATGCTGAAACGTATAATATAGACGTATCTGCAACATTTAAACGTAACATTATTACGTTTTTGCAGCTACAAAATGTCAACTATTTACGTATATTCTATATCATAAAGATATCTGTATAACTTCCCTTTTTACCATTTTATAGATAAATGTAAGATCCCGTAGCCCTAATCCCAAACCTAAACATACCCATTTTATACTTAATATAAAAAAGGATAAAACGTAACGGACAGCTTTGTTGGGAAAGGGCAGTTTTATTAACAATATAGCATTAAAATATATTTTGAGCCACCAATCCTACTCCTACCCCTAAACCTACCCATAACAATCCTTAAAACAACGTAACAAACTACAATTATGAAGAAAAACATAACTAACAGACAAGTATAATCAAAATAATTTATTTATTGCGAAAATGTCAAAACCGATACCAAAAGCCTTTCACATGATGAAGCGTTGCAGTCGCAGTCTTCTCTCTGGCAGTATTGTAATAGTTTTGTATGAAGTACAGAGCAGAAATTAAATTACTAATGAAAATGTTAATCCGGCTTCGGTTCGCGCTTCTCCATTTCAAATGAACTAAACTAACCAACCGTCACAGTCCTTCATGTTGCAAACTGTGACGAAGCAGGGAAGAGCCAATGAACGTTTGAAATCACTGCCGTAAAACATGACGTATCGCTTCTCAAGGGCGCAATGTTTGAATTTGAATTCATCACCAGCGCGGGGTTTGACATGTACGGTCGCTGCTGAGAATGGAGGTGAAGATCACGACTGGATAAAAGGCTGAATTAGGAGTTGTTTCTTGCAAACAACGTGGATTCTAAAGATTTGGATTACATCAAACTAATAAAATTGATGTCTTTTGTGAATTGTTGTTGTGTTTTATAGGAGAAAACGCTTTATGTGTCTCAAGGTAAATAAACTATTACAAAATGGTTGAACGTGTAACATTAAAGAAATGTATTTTTAAGGTTTTATAGTGTAACACCATGCAGGCGAAACGAGCAAAATGTTCATATTTATGAGTATTATATCAATAAAATGCGACTGAAAACTTCATTAATAAGACAGTGGAATGCAATTGAGTCAAAACATAATGCTACGATATTAATATGCATAAAGTGATACGTCGGTGGATTTGTTAATATACGTAAATAAATTATATTTTTGTGCTGTCAATACGTAAATATTTTACGTTTTAGTACTGTAAATAAGTAAGTATTATACGTTTCTGCGCATATAAAACGTAATTATATATACGTATGATAAAACGACACTTTACGTACAAATACATACGTATTCTCATGAGATCACGTTGGAATAGAAGACCGTTTTTAAAGAGACTGCCCAGTCGAAGCAGAAAATTTCCGAACTCTTGGGCCTCTCTTCCCTACACAATGGCTTCAGAGGATGGGGCCTGTCTAGGCAGTCATAGAACAGTCATATCTTCAAGTATCAGGTATTGTATAGTTTGGAAGAAATGGCTGCATCTGGCTCCTCTGACACCTGTATAACCGCTAAAGGACGTCTAGAGCAGTGGTTCTCAAACTTTTTCAGGAGGAGGCCCCCTTGTGTAGGGTGAATCATTTTGTGGCCCCCCCAAAAGAAAACTCGTAACGAAAACATCCTCAAATGTACAATTTTACTTACAAATTTTAGATTGTACCAAAATTAAATGAATTTGTACAATGCTGGAACAACAGTTCTGTTTGTAGCTTTATGTCTTTGAATATACAAAATTAGTTAAATTGTACATTTCATTAAATATAACAATTTTTTATAAAAAATGGTTTTGACAGTTAACAATAATATTGTCTGAAAAGTTCAACAAAAGTATTGAATACTGAACATTTGTGATGTTCATAGTAAAAGATAAACACTGAAAAATTAATTTGCCGATTGTAAAAAAGTGCATTAAACTTCTTAAATTTTAAGGTAGTAAATGACAGTGGCTCAAGTTTGGTTTGCAATTTTGAACAGCAATCTGTTTTTTCAGCAAGAAACAAAAAAAAATTCTACTCTACTTAAAGAAATAGTTTTTCAATATAGAAGACATACAATTTTATACAAGTTTTACAATATAAAAGAAATCATGCAATGCAGATTTCACATAGGACAATACAAACTTACATACAGGTAAAATCATTTTTTAAAATAATTTCATATTCTAGAATTTCTTTGCGGCCCCCCTAGCGCCATCTAGTGGCCCCCCAGGGGGCCACGGCCCCCAGTTTGAGAACCGCTGGTCTAGAGGGACAGAAGGGTCAGACTTTGCTTTGCTCTCAAAGAACTAGAGTGCCTTAACTGCTCCCTTCAGAGTGGCCCCCCAGAGTGCCTGGACACTTGTTCTAGATCACTTGTTCTTAAATGCAAATGAGCTGCATATCCCCGCCCTGCCTTTGGATGAGGGCGTAACTTGATACCTAGACCAGTCGGTAAGCAGAAAGGCTGAGAGAGTGAGAGACCCGCTCTTTTGAATGTCATTCAGCCGTACATGTTTGAATGGGAATATATAAATAGTCTCTGATCAGACCCAGGTGACGAAGAGACTCCGGCAGAATAAACACAAATGAGAATGGACCAGGGCGTCTCGGTATGGTTATTTGATACATTTATGTACTTATAGAGTTGTAATCGCGTCCCCTTTGCAATGATGGATGTGCAACACACACACAGACACACACAAACACTAACATTGGCTAACAAATTTTTAACACATTTTTTACATTTTTAACTAACAAATTTTTTTACACATACTGTGATAAAGTTTGCTACGTACAAGCGAAATTACATTTATGCGAGGGACCTGTTGCATCATGTTTACGCGTTTAGTCATACGTCATGTTTACGCGTTTGCTTCTGTGGCAAATGTGAGAAGATGTCTAACTTACAGAACAACAACAAATATGCAGTTTTTAATACAATATCTTAATATATATATATATATATATGAAGAGTTCAGATGCAAAAGCCTCTAAATGCCATTTGAAATTTTCTTCTTTAATGATGATTTTTATCAAACTTGTATATTTAAGTTCAGTGATTTCACTTAAATGGCAATGATAATTACCTATTAATTGTTATTTAAGTAAAATTACTGAACTTAAATATACAAGGTTGATAAAAATCATCATTAAAGATGAAAATTTCAAATGGCATTTAGAGGCTTTTGCATCTGAACTCTTCATATATATATATTCATAAATGTGTGGTTACACACTAAACCAGGTTTAAATTATATACACAGACATCCTACGTCGACGACGACAACAACTTTAGACACATTTGTTGTTGAATTGGCTGACATCGACTGAATAGACGTTTGCTATTTGCTCAAAAATCATAAAATACACTTACTGTTACTGAGGTGACGGTGGATCGCAAA